GCAGTGATCATAGCACCTGGGCAACCTAAATGCCATGAAGCTTTTTTCTAGGCATCAAGACAACAGAGATTTGAAGAAGGATACTGAGAAAGCTTTGCAGGGGTTTGTGGGAAGCAATGGGAAAGATGGGACAAGTGAGTGATGGGGACGGGCACCCTGGGCTTGTTAGAGGCACAAATCAACCTGCTGGGACAGTAGACAAGATGAGAGGCTGGAAAGGACTTTGAAAATGAAATCCAAGGTCCCATGAACATGAATGTGTGGCATGTTTCAGCATGGCATTGCCTGGCATGGCAAGGTAGCAGTATAAACAGGCCCTGATGTAGTGTAGCAAGGCTGCCACATGCCACAGCAAATGCAGACATGTATACACAGCAGTGGTTTTGGTATGACCCTAACTTTAAAGAAAACACAACCCCAAAGGAACATGCTGAAATAACCTGACAAAAAATGGTTAAAGCGTTAAAAAGTCAGGAAATACTCACATGAAAGTGGCTGCTCTGTCCTTACCTCACTTAATCACTTCTGAAAGAGATTGGCGTAGGGAGGCAGCTCCTGGGCTAGGCCTGGGAAATCAGATCCAAACGCCTTCAAACCCTGGAACAAAGTCTGCCAAAAATCCAAGCCCCCGGTTTGGAGCTGAGCCCCTCTAACCCAGTTCCTGAATGAGATCCTGGACCTACACTGAAAACAAATGAAGGAGCTCATTGTCTGAACTTTGTGCACTGTAATGCCAAGGCACTGCTGAGTAAGTCAGGGAGGTGCAGTAGGTTAGAGAGAGGGGGTAGATACAGTAGACCTATATTCAGTATATAGTCTACTCCCCAGCCTATTTTTTCCTGCACTCATCCACACCCCTGCATTGCAGCACTCACACCTACTGCACTCACACCTACTCTGCTCCTTCACTGTGGCGAGCTATGATCTTTCTCCCTTTCCTGTTTCCAGGATGTTCTTGGTGCCTTCATATGTGACATTAGGGCCAAATGAGAATTTAGACACAGGCAGGCTCAGGCTCACTATGCCTAACATGCACGTGCCTTGTTCTGGGAGAGTGAATCCACAGACCCAGGTTAGGCACCTAAGCTACTTACATTTTAAATAGAGAGCATTAGATGCCTTGGATTGGGTTTCACAGCCCCAGAGCACTGAGTAGAAGAATACCTAAAGCAGTCCATTGATAAGATATCCTGGAGAAGAGGGATGCATCTGAAGTCTGTCATCTCTCCTGGACTTCAGCAATGACTGAGTCTAGAATTGGCAGTTTGAAACCTGCCCCTAAACATAAGACACCTCCTTTATCCTTTCAGGTATGGGCAACTCTCTGGCTTCCTTCTTTTCAAGGATAGCCAGTGGTGGGGCCACCTCCTTTTGCCTAATGATCTGTTGCTTAGGGCACTCTACCTGGAAGTGAGGCACCTGGATTTTAGGCCCTGAACAGTCTGAAGGAGTTCAAGTCCACCTCTCCCAGGATAATGCCCTAACCACCAAGCAATGGGCTAAGCCAAAATGGACTTCCATGAAACAAGTGGAAGAGTAAGGAGCCAAAGAGAGAATAAGAGGGAGCATGATTCAGTAGCCCAGTGAGGTGGATATTACAACCCTCTTGGGCCAGAGTGGGGCCTGAGTGCCAGTCCCTGCTCCTAGGTGTGCACAGCACTTTGCATGCAGCAGTCACTGGGTAAGATGCAAAAACAGCTTTGAGAACAGGGACCAGAACTCAGGTCTTCCATTTTGTGAGCAAGTGAGTCCGAAGGTGATCATGCAGAGGGTCAACATAGGTACCACCACAGGCCACGTTCTAGGATGAGTGGTTATGGGCGCAATGATGTCAGGTTCGGTGTGCTCCGAGCATATCTACCCCACCAGGTCCCACTGGACAGTTATGCAGGGTTTGAACACCTGAATGTTTGGCACAAACAACATGGCGATAAGTTCTAAGCATGTGCAGAAGCTAAACCTTGGGGCCCTAAGTACATTTCTCCCAGAGAACTTGGGCCTCTCAGATGCCCAAGCTGCACTTAGGGTGAAAGAGGGATGTCTGAATTGCAGCCCACAAAACTTCTGCCCAGCCACTTCTAGGTGTCTAAGCCTTTTTTTGGATCTAGCCCTTAGGCAATAGATAAAGTGCTGGGAGCTGATGCTTACAGATGTGAGCCTTAAGGACCTACAGTAAAATAGGTACATTTTATAGGATCAAAAATGTGTTGTGCAAGTGGCTTTTCTGTGCAGCTCTACATCAGCTGTTCATACTTTCCCTGTAAACAGGGTCACAAGGGACTGAAGACTGCAATGAAAGGGAAAAAAAGCATCTGTAAGCTGAACTGATAAGATAGTATACCTTCTGCTCCCCATCACTCCTTGTCACTCTCCCAAACTAATGCATACAACAACACTTATCCTTAATGGTCACTGATACAGCTCTGAATGTTTTAAATTATGATGTGCAGTGAATATGCAGGACATTTCTTGGGGTCTGAGAATGTACTTGCCTTTGAGATTGGCTACCTTGGCTATAATCAGTTGCTGTTAGCACAGGGAAGTCAAATGAAGTCACTTTTGTGTTGTAGACAGAATATTCAGGCAACTGAAATGAATTATGGGCAGCACCTAGCACAAAGGACTCCTGGTCCCTGACTGCGGTGCTTTTACACTATAATTAATACTAATTGCACTCAAGCACACACTGCTGATGAAATAACTAGACCCAGAGGCTGATTCTGGAAAGAAATCAAAATATTATTGGTTTTCACTTTACAGGACCAATAACCAGTCACTAAAGTGATAACAATGTACCTCTCTAAAATGAATACACAAAAGCAAAGTTTATTTGTGCAACAGTATAACATCACAGAGACATATGAGATTTTATGTACATGTCATTATCAAGCAGACTATGGGTATCCACAGTGCAGTAACTGACCCTTTTATGATAGAAAAGAAGTTGAAGAAATTGTTTGATTTTTTTTTTTGTAAGACGGAGATTTTATGCATCCAAGTATTTGCTAGAAGAGCACACGGAGGACACCAACAAAGGCAAAAGAGTGAGGGTGAATAGTAAAGGACTGATGTGTGTCACTCTGGGGAGCCACGTGAGTTGTAGGAACATAAGGACCTGATGGTGCAAAGACACACGCACATGCTCAACTTTATATACGCTCTGGGCCCTTCTGACATGCTACCATGCATAAAATTAAGCACACACTTTAATCTTGGTAGGTTTGGGGCCTCAATCTCCCACAGGAATATCCCCCCCTCAAATCTGTGCAGTGAGTCTTGATTCCCAGAGCTCTGGGCAGGGATCAAAAATAGCCAACAGAGGTGAGAATTGCTATGTGCATCTGAAAGGAGAATTCTGCCCTTCGCATGCAACATGCAGACGAACAAGCAGAGATCAGAGCCTCTTACAAATCCACCTCTTACGATCAAGGATTAGTAATTCTCAGTTCTGGGCCTAGAGGGTAAGTACAGGGAGTTGGTGGAAGTAGCTTAGGGAACCGTCTGGGCAAGATGCACTAATGACACATATCTGAGCCGCGGAAAGGCAATGAACTGAACAGAAACGGGAGGTACGGTAGATTGAAGCTAAATAGGAAACAAACAAACAAACAAGAGCTGCATCAAATTAAGGGACATGCCTAAAAGGGAATGTAGCAAAGCAGGAGGCTGTCATTTAGTCTCATTAGAGCTGATGCCACTGTTCTGCTCTCCCAGACAAAAGCTCCCTCATGGCCTTGCCTGCGTTCCCATGAATATCATTCACTGTTTTGTGTACGAGATGTGTGGCCATGCCTGCTAGGCTGATGTGCAGGGGCTCTGCAGAAACTCTAGTCTGGGAGGCATGTTGGCTGATTTCAAGCCTCAGTTTGTTGAGGGCCTGTTTTGCAGCAGGCTCTCAGATGTGCAGTATCTGTGGAGCTCCCCGTGATGGGTTGGAACTCATAAATGTGGTGTTATCAGTGCATGCATAGACTGCTATTCAGGATGGCTATCAGGGACCATGGAGCAAGAAGACGTGTCATGTAAACAGGAACCAAAGACAAGCTTGAGCCCATCCCACCTGGGTGCCTGCATTCTGGCGTCTCTTTGATCACTTACTGCCTTTTACTTAATTCTTTAAACCTCTGACCTTGTCTTTCTGTTAAGATGCTAATTGTTTCTTCCCGCTAATATAGCATCCTGAACTCCCCAAACACTGACCTCGGAGTCCCAATAATAATTACTTCTCCACGAGCAGCTTTAATCTGAGGACAGAAACAGTCTTAAAGGGGCATCAATTAGATATATTTTATACAAACACCTGTATAGCATTCCTGCCACCTTAGCATACTGAAAATATTCCTCTGCAGTGTACTCCTGCTGTTTATTTCTCACACTTCAGTTTGGTTGGACAATCAAAAATAACCAAGATTAGTTTCTTGTTTTGTATATTTTGATTCAGTTTCATGCGAAGGTCCTCAGTGTTGCAATATTTGGGTGCAAACACTGCTGGGAAATGGTTATTTATTTAAAACATCTGTTCCACTAGCAGAAAGCTAATCCACAAAGATATTTCCAATGGTCACAGATTTGGTAAAACTCTTGTGCATACAAACTCTCAATTATTTCTGCTGATCTTAGCACAATGCAGGGTGCCCCACACTGTCAATTATTTAATGTTACAAAAGAAATCCACATTCCAGCCAACTCATTCCTTCTCCCAAACAGCGGCTCTAAGTTTAAATAAAGATGTCTTGGCATTCCAGTTAATTGAAAGTGAATCCTACACTTGTGCAGGTGGTTGGATTAGCTGGCTCATGAAGCCCTTCCCAACAATGCAGTTCTATGATTTGGTACTTTCATCTCTCCTATTACTCTGCAGAGGCCAGACAAAGCAAATGGGCCCAAATCAACTTATCCAGGGGATTTCAGAGGGCCTTAAAAACTGATATATCCATTGTCAAATTTGATGTGCCATTTCTTAAAGCCTCTCGACTTTCCCATGAGGTAGGTAGTGGAGCCAGGGGCTGGGGGGGGGAGGGGGAGGGGAGGTGTGGAAGGGAGGGCAGATAATGTAAACAGAGGCAGGAAAAAATACTCATGGCCTATTGGCAGAGGAAGTGAGCATCACAACTTGTAGCTATGCCAGTGGGAGCTGGAGTCATTCTTTAATCTAGCATGAGGCCTTTGATGACTTGCCCAGGGTCATCATGCAAACTAGTGGCAGGCCTGGGAATAGTAGCTAGGAGCCCTGATGTCCTTTCCTGGGTCTAGTAATTGAAGTACAGTGCAGATCTCACGGGCTTGTTCTGTACATGCCCCACCCCCCCCTTTGCTTCCATTGATGTCCATGGGAGTTTTGAACTTGGTTTGTGTAGCAGTGCTGCAAATTCAGTTCTCAGCTCACTCAAATCTAGTTGCACTAGGATTTTTGTAGTGGTTGAACTAGGCTTCCCTCACTGGAGTAACTGGATATACAGAAGTGTGAGATTAGAATCAAGCTTTGCCTAATAGCAAGTTTGCCCACCCAGACCATGGACAAGTCAGCTTGCCATTCCTCCCATCTGTCTTCTCCTCTTGCTTAACTAGTCTCTCTTCCCTGCTCATTTCTTTACTTTTCTCTCTGATTCTTCTGCCTTCCCCACCTGTCCAGCTCATTTGGTTCAGATACCCCAACTCCTTCTCTTCCAGACTTTCCCTCATGTAGGAATTCTTAAATGGCCTTTTGGCACTTTATCTTCATCACCTACAGCCACAGCTGGGCACAGTTGGGCATGTGGAGCAGGGCATTTGGTGACCACTAGTCAATGAAACAGTTTGTAGCATGTCTACACAGCAAAATGAAGGCATGACCTGACCATAGCTTGTACTTACCTACCAAGCTGGAATGAGTAACATAGCAGTGAGGATGCAGCAGCATAGACTTTAAATATGTGCTAGTACCAGGTTATAAGCTCTTCAGAGACCCCGTGGTTGCTAACTTGTGCTAAAGCACATGCTGCTGGGTCTTTACTGCTATCCTTACCCGTGCTAGCTAGATATATTACCACATGTTGTGATCAACCTTTATTTTGCCACACAGACATATGTTTAGAGTAGTTCTTAGATTATACTAAAATAAGCTAGAGGTTAAACCTGCTGGTCCAGAATTGGGAGAACACAAAGATGTGTAAAGGGATGTCTGCACAGGAAACTACTCCCTGAAGTTTGGCTTTCAATTGAAATTAAAGCAAGGCACACAAGGCAAGACCGAGCCATCACAGAATGCAGGTATATCTTTCTATGTTTCTGAAAGCTGCTCTCCGCTTCAGACAGACACAGCCAACGTTCTCAGAATCTTGATGGCAATAGATATCTTTGGAAATGAGGACAAAAACTTATTTTTGCATAGAAACTCCAATGTGACTTTTGGGCTTATTCTAGGTTTCAGCTGTCTGCCAAGACCTTGAAATCCACTGCAAAGATCCAGGGCATTAATGTGAGAGGATGTTGCTGCACCAAGCTGATCATCATCTAATGCCCTTCTTAAAACAAAGCATGGCTGTTGCAGTTCTTTGCAGGGCACCTTTGATGTTTTAGAGAAATAATAGCAACCCTCTCCCTCACCTTGGCAAGCAGCTTGTGGTGCTCTTCAAATGACCAATGACAGTATCTTAAACATAACAGAAGAAAAATGACTTTACAGTTGTTTCCTAGATTAGTTAGTGGTTCATCTCTGGCCTCATAATAAAACATTCGCTTTTTTGGGTTCATACTCTGTTTGATTTTTCTTGTGGAAAGCTTCAATTTCCAGCTCATTGGCCAGTTTCTTAGCATCAGTAAGGATGCATGTGAGTCCTTTATCACAGTGGTAGTTTACAAGGAAATCCTTCAAGTCATAGTTTGATCAGAATTTACATTGTTGTCTTAAGCATTTTATGGGTGGTGCTGCCTTCATAGGGCATATCATACTGAAGTACCACACTGTGCAAAGATTTCAAATTACAGATTTTGTGAGCCAACAATGCAGTATTGCTTTGAGTTTTGGCTGCTGTGGGTCCCTTTAGGTTTAAAGTCTTGGCAATGGATAATGAAGTATCATAGACTTCTGAAAGTTGGCACCAAAATACATGGATCCCATCAATTTGGCTATCCCTTGTTGTTTCACTTAAAGGTTTTGGAAATAGGTTAATCGCATGTTGGTGCATAACATCCTAAAGTTACTGTGAGACTGTGGAAACCCCCACAAATGCTTTGATCCATATAAAAAAGTACTGCAACTTCAATGCAATAACTTGCACCAATGTTGAATACAAGATTAAAAGAAAGCACATTGTTCAGGACCGAAAAAAATGCTCTCTTGCTAAAGTCCCAAATTCTCTCCACTGTTTGCCTTTCATAGTTGTCCCACTACCATAGCCTTGACCACTCAGATCACTGAATGAAATCTCCATTTCTTTTGACTGTTCAAGAAGAGGTTCTGTCATTCTACTGTCAGTGGAGTATGTCATGCTCAAAAACCCAACAAAGTGTTTTTGGATTGTCTCTCTGCCTGGTTTCCATTGTGTCTTCCACACAAACAGATCTAACAATCAGTGGCATTTGCTCTCGTTTACTAATGGCTTAGATGCAGTCAAGTGTAATAGGATAACTCTTGGCAGGTTTCAAAGCAGAAATAATTTCCTTGTTGATCATGTTCCCAAGAATTTGAATATTTTCAGTGTATATTCACCCAGGTAATGATCATGACTTTTTTGAGGTAATTTGTTGAAGATGTTCTTCTATCCTCAGAATCCTCAGACCGCGTGTCCGAAGAAACTCCACAACTCTCAAAAACTTCCTATTGTGGGATGAATAGAGCTTGTCTGGTGAATCCTGTGAGGGAATGTTTCTTTTATTCCGTGGAGTCTGGTGAGATAAAAAGTCTTTCCAAATCAGCTTGCCAGGGCTCCATCAGAGAGTTAATTTGGCACTGTTTCTTTTAATTCTCTCTTCTTTGTACAGTCCTGTTTCAAACTAAATTCTCTCTCTCCAGGTATGATACTTGTTCATATGATCTCTGGATTTCTCATATTTTGCTAGGCTACTCTGTTTTTCTAGTGTCAAGCACCATTCCTGATTAAATCAACTCCAGAATTAGACACCTTGTAGCAGACGCAATAAGAAGGATCAGTTGAAGTAGAATAGATAAACCCATCTCATTTTCAACCTTCTCCGTTTGAAATCTGCCATGAGAAATGGAAAGCTAAACCTTTTCTTCCATTGCTATACATAAGGGAACCCTACCATCTGTTTGGAGCAATCTGGCATTCAGACGGAAATGGCAAATTCTGTACTGGACTACCACTCCTGTTGAAGTTAATGAAAATACCATCTACAGAAAACACAGTGTAGCATCAACCAATCCACCCTGCACCAATAATGGTATCTTCAGTAGAAAAGTCCTAGGCTTAAAATGACCACATCAAAGTACCTTCAAGTATTTACCAGGTCACTGCACCAATGTTGTTGTTCCAAGCATTAGTTAAAGCATGAGTCAAATTCTGTCTTCAGTTATATCTGGTATAAATCTGGAGTAACGCTGGTGTAGTCAAGGGAGTTTCTCCAGTTTATACTAGTTGTACCTGAAAGAAGAATCTGGCCCAATCTTCACCACGGGCTTGATTCTGTCACCGCATGCTCTAGTTGCACTGACTACCTACTTTTGTGAAGTCCCATTGATTAAAATGAGACAACTCATTGCAAAACATTCTTCTGTCCCATTCTATGTGAGTTAGGGGTTCCCACTCTGCTACCATAAGACATTTTGTTCCCTAGACCCTTATGCATGACTGTTTAGGGCAGATTTTGCTAAAGGCACAATCCCTCTCCCTTTGAAACCAATGGAAAAGCTCCCGTGAACCTCAATGCTGTGCAGATCAGATTCGTTTATACACAACACCATACCAGTACATGTTCTACTGCATAGCTTGACAAATCATATCCAAAGAAATGCTTCTCAACTGTTATAAAGGTAAACAAAGCCAAGATGTACCCATAAACTCCATTATAGAAGTGATTGTCCTAACAGTAATGACGAGCGGATAACAGAATGATTAGGATGTTAATTTGCAACTTAGAAGACCAGGGTGGAACACTCAATTCCTTGCTCTTCTGTGGACTTGTGTGTGACCTTGGTCAAGTCACTTAAATGCAGATTCTCAAAGGCAATTAATTTCCATTGAAATCCAACTCCCATCGAGTTAAATGGGAACTAGGCACCTAGACTCTTCCAAAAGTCTTGCCAGGTGCCTAAATGCCTTTTAAAATCTGCCCCCTTAGCTCCCATTCTGTAAAACAGAGAGAACAGAGAATCCCTGCCTCACAGGGGTTGTGAGGATAATAAATAGAAAATTGTGAGGCACTAGTACACTACAACAATTGGGACCACAGACAGAATAAGAATTAGAGCCACATGTATCCCTTTTTTTCCTCTTTTCCCAAAATCCTGTTAACAACTTTCTTCTCTGGCAGAAGGGCAGGGGGTGGGGTGGCAGGGAGTGATGTCTACTTCAGAACCAGATGTCCATGTTCGAAGCACCTCTTCAGGACTCTTATGTTTTCTTTATGAAGTAATCGCTCCTGCAAGAGTTTAATTTTTTTATATATTCTCCTTTATGAAAAATTAAAACAAACAGCATGATTGTGGCTTAAAGCTTTTTATGGCCGTGACTGTTGTAACTAATATCGAAAGAAGAGCTAAACATCCATATTGATCAAGTGACTTGCATGCAACTAGATTTTATCTGCTAGGTTTGGTGATATAAGGGGGATCCAACCATTTTGGGAATGGAAAGCAACTAAAAATGGAGCAATAGTCTTAGTGATGCTCTCAGAGTGTGAGAACAGTGCAGAGCAGTAGCCCTTGACTGACTAGGCCAAGCAGCAAAATTAGCAATAGTGCCTGTCAAATAATTGTTTCACTCAAGGCCTCAGAAGCTTTTGGGTCATTGCATGCTACGGACCTCTTTCTGCTCCAAAATGTGGAACTCTGAACACTTACAAGGATGAATTTAGCCCTGAGAAAGCCTGAAGCATTTTTCTGTAGCAAAGGCAAAGATACCCTTAGTAGTTAAACTCTTGTATGCACAGTCTGGGCTTACAAGTTTTGGGTAGGTCACATTTGTGGGTCCACTCCTAGTCACCTCTCTAGTACAGAATCCTCAAAGGTCAATGTATAGGTCAGGAATTAGTGATACCCTGTCAGTTATGAATTACTTCATTTGTGCCCCACCAGCATACATTCAATGTCAATCTTGAATAATCTTCCAGAGATGGTGCACTTACATGCATTGTTTTGCATTGGAGGATGTTGAACTGGGACTGTAGAGGCTGGTGCTGATTCTGGTGCTGTAGACAGCAAATACAGAAGAATAGGGAACTCTTGTGACTGGGCTGTACTTGAATAGACAGTCCAGCTTCATTAGTCAGATTCAAAGACTGCTTCCTAAAAGAGCTTGCATGCAATATCATAAGCAAGTACACATTGGTAGAACATGAAGCATTCTGATGTACAGTGTACTCGTATCATGTCAGTTATCATGCTGTATAGATCTTACCCCAGAGTTTCAAGGCTCTACTGCCTTGCTCAAAAGCTCTCGGGCTGGAGCTGGTGCCTTCCACCTGACCGTGAGCCTGCAGGTGTATGCTGCATTCCATATGTGTTTTGCATGATACAGTGGTTTACAGAGATGTAGCTAAGGAAATGCTTCAGTTAGCAGATGTAATATGAACAACCTAAACAGGCATAATTAATAGAGGCAAATTCATTTTTCAGGGCATTTCCTTAAATCTATGATTTCGCAACTTAGACTGATTAGCAAACTATTTCAGTGTGTGTGTAAATGCTTTGGTGACAAGTGATGGGCTTAAATATAGTAAGGTAAACTCTGCCCTGCTTTGCACCCCATGTTACCTAAGGTACCAGGATCAGATGCAGGTCTCTTATACTAATGTCAATTAGAAGCATCTCCAGTGGCATAATGAAGAGACTGGTAATGTGTATCAGTATGAATGAGAACATGAGAAGGTGTGTATCAATTTAAAATGTGTCCTCTGTGGAATCTGGGATGGATTATATCAAATGGAAGCTGTCTGAATGCTGGCTGGTTGAAGGAAGACCAAAGAAATAAAAATGAATAAAACTTATACTGAATAAATAGAAAAGGATGCTAATGATTGGCTCAGTTTAAGACTATAAAAAAGTATTTAAAAAAAGCAGGCAGGCACACATACACACAACTGGCAGCCTGAGCTGTGTTACTAAAATATCCTTGTGTGTGGAAACTGAAATAATTGATAAAAGCTGGGATTTCACTCATTTTGCACCACAAAACCTGATTGATCAGATTCACCTATCAGCTGGCACGTGCTGGGATGCCTCTCCAGTTTGGGTTGTTGTAAGCACAGCAGAGAAATGTAGATATTCTGACAAACTTTTTTCCCTGACACACAGAGTATATCTGTGTAGCTATTTTCATAAGTTGTTTTTAAAAAAAATAAAACCTCCTTTTGGAAGATAAGGGCAAAAATTCAAGCCTAAACTTCCTGACAGAGTTGCTTGAAAATGCTACAATCTTCAGCAACCGCTGCTCAATTTCAGCAACATCCCTTCGGTCAAAACAAAAACGAAAACCCTATAATCAGTCCACATTGGCCATGTGGTATAGCAGAAATGAAGTCACTGAACTTGATGCTGTAACAGTGTTTGCCTGTGTCTCCACTGAAAGTAAAAGTTTGGCAATAATATTAAGCTGTGTCAATGCACTGATGAAATGGCAGGAATTTGTTCTTCAATGCCACTGATTCCATTTCTTAGCTTGGTCAAACTCTGAAACAAACTGTTTGCCATGCTGATGTGGCCTCTCTCTAACTCTTACTGCAGGGATGCTTTTCTTTTTATTACCATTACTGATTTTTTCTTAATAGATATGGGTTAAACATCCACTCACTCAGCATGCTAGCAGTGTGGCAATCAGTTGTTGAGAAAAGCATCCAGATTACAGCTATGTCTGGGTGCTTGGAATGTGTGTATGTGTGCCAATGCACTCCAGATACAGTGAAATAAGAACGGGAATTGCCTTGATTTCTAAGGGATGTGGACACTGGACACCATGGTTTAATACTGATGGCTGTTTTCATTCCAAACTAATGTTGGTACTACCTCATATCAATTTTCCTCCATTGTCTTCTCCTGGAAAACATTAACGAGACTCTAAAGTGGGCACTGTGACATTCAGATGGTGCAATACCACCCTCCTTTCTTCATGAATGTCCCCTTGTCCTTTCACTTCAAGGGAACGCCAAGTTGAGAATCTGTTCATCTTCTTAAGCCAAGACTGTTGCAATGAATCACATGTGGCCACTGGTTCCTTACTTGGAAAATCACTGTCTGCTCTTACACTATCTATATGTGCAGTAATGTTTCTTGTGTTGGCAGCAATATCTCAGCAATTTGACATCTACTTATGGAATTCTGTCACCTTCCTTTTACATTGTAAAGTGAAGCAGAATTTGGTAACAGAGAATGCCCCGTTTTAAACCAGGAGGAAGTTTTCCCCCAAACTCTAACGCAGCATCAGACAGCACTTGAAATACAGTATTTCATGTGAGTTGGACCTCTAACCATTAATTGGTTGTTTCAGCTCAGTTCAGGTGGAGGGCACAGGCAGGGAAGGAAGGGATATTTCTCAGGATATGCCCCCTTTCTGGTCCCGCATGAATCACTTACTGTCTGCTATCCTGACATACTGGCGCCCCATCCAGACAATTCTTGCATGTCCTTGGGAAAAAGAGTAAGACCACTCTGAGTAGGAAAATGATTTAAAAATGCCTTCAGATGCCTTTTCACTTCTTTTTATTTAACTCCATAAATATTTTCATAAGGCTCAGTGTCTTTACAACACTTTTTAAACACTTTTTTTGTTTTATACACACAACTTTGACACTTGTTTGACAGGGTCAAACAGTCCAGTATAAACAAAATAATAAAACTGGCAAGTGCGGATCAGCGGATCAGCTGGGTTACCAAAATCCCATTTTTTTTCTTTTTTGCTCTTACTGTTAAAACCCCCAAAGCACTAAAATATCAGTATTTGGCTTCAAACTAGAATTTTAAAAACCTTTTTTTTTTTTTTTTTTTTTTTTTTTTTAAATTCTCTGCTACAAATCCCCATCATCCTAGTGCCTTTAAACTCTTACGGACTCTTCTTTTCTTCTCCAGGAAAAATAAGCTTGGTGATGCCATGCAGAACTTACAATAGCTACTAAATATACATGTTCCCTGAAATGTAGCTGCAATGAGAAGATGACAGAGCATAAAGAGAACAAAACCAGAAACCCAAAGCACCACAGTGTACTATCAATAACATTGCACTGGATGGCTGGTGCCCATCCAAGAACTGAAACAATTTTCAAATATATTTTTCTATGTATTATTTTCTATTTACAACTGTAAGATGCACCTAGGTTGGTTCTTGTTTGATCTTATCTGGAGAGAGTAGGGAGGTGAAAGTCTTGAACTTAGATCCTTTGCTCTAGTATCTGCCAGGTCAAGGGGTAACGAGCATCATTTACTTCGGGAAGCGGGATTTTTTTTTATATAGGTTTTATAGTTTCAGCTGGAGAAATCCTGTTTACATTTAGGTTTTTTACAACGCTCTTGTTGCATCACACATGGAAGTTATGGGGGTTCCTCCTGTCTGGCTTGGAAATGAAAGCCTCTATAACATACTCAGTCAAAATTACTCCTAATTTGATCAGATCTAATCTGTTTCCAGAGTTTTCAAACACGCAAGACAGCCCAACCCTGCTCCCTGTTGGAAAATCAAGAGCAGGTTGTAAAAGTGGGTCCCAGTGCTGGTTCTTCTGTGTATTAGTGCTTCATTTCTTGCAGCAACTTTGCAACTTATGGAGGGAA